ACTATAAAATTTGAGCATTTGAAGGTTATGCTCACGGACTTTATTACAGTATAACCTTGAGATTTTAACAAACTTATCTCCAACCAATCGTAGCTTTTGCCCCAGGCTAAGCTAATGATTTGTCTAGAGATTTATGGCTGATCTCAATAAAATAAAAAAATTCTTCCGACAAAGCTCTATAAATTAAGAACAAAGATTTTATAAAGGTTTATCTCAAGAACCAAACCCAATCTCTCAAAGGTATCACACCTTTAAAAATATAAACGATCATCACGACCACTTACAAAGATATCTTCCATTCAAGTAAAGCTTCATTTAGGAGCACTAAGGCAATTTGAAGTGAATAGAAGTATTTTCAAAAACGAGAGAAATAGATCAATTCCAAAGAAATATGAAAACGTTGGAAAATGGGGTGGTTTAAAGTGAGGAAGCCTTCCCTTATATAGTAGTTGGAAACGCCATGAAAGGAAATGATCCATGGGCCGAATTTATTTAATCGATTAGCAAAATACTCTGATCGATTAGACAACTCAAATATAATCGATTATAAAGCCTGTGATACGGTGGGAGAACTGACTTTTTATTTTGCGTTTGTATTCACAAATGTTGCGGTTTAGCAAGAGTCGCCACCGACTTTTCTTTTATCCAAAAGGAAAGGTGAAAAAGCACAGGAAAGGCCTTTAGAGATGTTTTCTTGAGTTCGGGGGGTAGATTATGAAAAGGGAAGGTGTTAGCACCCCTTTCATCCATGGTTCTCCATGGCCTCTTAGTTACTTGCTAGATCACTTGCTTTTGTTTGAATGTGCTTGTGGTACGGTTTTTTAAATTATTTTGAAAATGTCTTTGTAATGGTTCTCGTCTCTATAAGAACGCGTACAAAGTGTTTGTTTGGAAAATAGTTCAAAGATGTGTGTGTTTTTGAAAGTGATTTTGAAAAGGTGTCTTTGTAACGGTTCTTGTCTCTATAAGAACGCGTACAAAGTGTTGTCTTCGAAAATGTTTCAAAACGAGAGTGTTGGTCTATAAAATGTTTTTGTTATGAGCAAGCGAGCAACTAGGGATGAATCTACCTACTCAAAAGGTCTTAGATGTTCTTTTCTTCCTCCTTTAGATGTTGCCATCTTACCATTGATTTGGTAAGAAGTCCCATCGTTGGATATTCAAGGGACGAATGTGGCACGTTTGTATAGCCATAGAAGGCAACCTATAGAACATTTTAGTAATGTCGTTTTAGGGACTAGATCGTTTACCAGAGGAAACATCGAGGATCATCGAGGGACTACGATCTTTTATCGAGGGTCTTTTGCTAAAACATCCATGTTCGAGGGACATGACTATTTTTCGATAGGCCACAAGTGAGATTACCCTAAGGGTGCATGTGTGCAAAGTGTGTTTGATTGCATGCATTTAGTCTTGATTAGGGTTATCTATTTTTCGATTTCATGTCTTGCCATACACACCCTAGTTACTAACAACATATGAAAACAATAAAAAATGTGGAAGGTAAAGATTCTATGCTATTACAATCATTAGGGGGATGGGGTGTACAAATTTACAAATGGGGGGTTTGCAAGAAAATAAATCCTAATTATTTATTACAACCATATTGAAATAATAATGCAAGAAAGAAAAATGACATTGTTTAGAAAAATGTTTTTTTGTCTTAATGAATTAAAAAAAAGAATGAATTGGCTAGTAAAAAGAAAATATTTTTATGCCTTTTTTATATTGATAAAAGAGTATTAATATTTAAAGTGATAAAAAGGAAAATAAATGAGATATAGAATCAGCGTGCTGCTGCCAGCAAAACAAAAGGAATCAGAAGTTCTGATGCCAGGAGTGCTGTGACTCAAAAAGAAACGTCAGTGAGCATCAGAAGTTCTGGATTGGTACACTCTGAGGTCCTGCAAAAAAATGTTAGAGGGAAAACAAAGGTTTTGACTGGTATTCAGACATTGAGTCAAAAGTCAGAAGTTATGTGTTACGCTAAAACAATGAGTAAACATCATAAACTCTGAGTGTTTAAAACAGCGAGTAGAAGTATCAGAAGTTCAATGTGCTTAACAATAAGGAGAACTCAGAAGTTTTGTGCTGTGCTAAAACGGTGAGTGATCATCATAAGTTCTATGTATTAAAACAGTGGGTGTAAGTATCAGAAGTTCAGTGTGTTAAAACAGTGAGTGGAAACATCAGAAATCTGTGTGTTAAAACAATGAGTGGAAACATCCGAAATTCTATGTTATATTTCAACTCTTTTCTCATATTAATCAACCATCAGCAACTTATTCAGTTCTTAATCAAACAACAAATCAGAGGGATAAGAGCACAACAGTTTATAGAAGTTCTAATCCTAATCCTAAGCCTATCCTTAATCAAGAAGTTCTGATCCACAATTTTTTTCTATTAATGCAATGATATGGACAACATTAATACTATGATATTTACATATTTAATGATGTTCTGAATGAAAAGATGCAAAGTCAGAAGAAAGACTTACCTTGAATCTTAAAGTGTGTGTTTGGAACTTGAACTGCTGCCTTCAGATATTATGGAGTCAGCGAGAGTAACGAGAGAAAATGCTAAGTTCTTTGACTCAAAGGGAAGAACAAAGGTTTTGGTTTTCTGTTTGGGAATTCTGGATTTTTTATGAAGGTTTCACAACTTTCTTTTCTCTCTTTTGACAATTCTCTCTCTCCAAAAGTCAGTCTCTTGAAAGTGTGATGGAGCAACTTATTTATAGGTGAATTTGCTGTGGTTTTTGGGGGAAAAACAAATGGGATTTAAAATTTTTTGATACACTGTTCCATTGTTTTTTGATCACAGTTTTTTATATTTGGTGCAAATACAGGATTTGGGAAAATGCAGGCGTGGACTGGATTAGTTGTTGGTTAGAGTATTGTACTGTAGCAGTGCAGCAGGTTGTTTAAACGAGGTTTTGGGATTTGGTGATGTTCTGATTGCAGAAGATCATAATGAGACTCGAAGGGTGATGTTCTGACCGAAGCGTTGAACATAGCCTTCATATGTTGAAGAATCATGTTCTGACCAAAGAGCATCGCTTCTACGTGTTCTGATTGAAGCATCATGTTCTGAACCGTGTTTGCAAATTCTGATTGCACTCGCATGAAGGCTGGTCCAAAAGTTCTGAAGTATCATATTCTCTTAACACTTAGAAAATTTTCTAAATGTTTAGAAATTTGATTTTTTCAAAGTAATTTCTGACTTCTGATTTTTTTGATGAACCGATTTCATGTCTCGATGAAATATAATTGTTGAAACTTGATTTGATCTAAAAAAGTCAAAGTTTAACTTTTCAGTGTGCTTTTGACCATTTTGCCCTTGTGGATAATTTTCTTGAAAAGTTGTAATTCAAAACTTGAAACTTGATAGAAGCAAGCCTGAGAGTCCAGGATGATCCTTTGAGAAATGAGAGGGCAAATTTAGGGGTACAACAATTAAATTTTTTTAGATATAGAACCATTGCAAGTCGTTAATGTGCAATCTACACTGATTGTATAATCGATTATCATCCTTCTAATCGATTGTACAAGTGTCCTAATTGATTAGATAGATTAAAAAAATTTCCAATCGATTGACACATCTTTCCAAACGATTAGATGGTTAAAAAAATGATTGGATAGCTTTTTAATCACTTAGTTCTGGCTTCAGAAAAACATTTTTAAGGTAGAGAAATATTTTGAAGTGTGTGTGTGTGATCTGTCTTAGTACTCTTAAGCTATTACCTTATTTTTATAGTACTCGGTTCACTTAGACAGATTGACAGACATGACATGACGAACTTTCACACCTTTCACTAGAGTGGATTTAAAACTTTGCTAGATAGTATCTGTTTTTATAAACACTTAATCTTGAATTCTCTTATAAGATGCTTTGATTATCATCGATGTTGAAGGCTATTAATTGAAAATCTTAACGAGTAACAATTAAAAAAGCTAGATCATGTAAAAAAAAAGTCTATAATAGACTATAGATTAGATTAAGGCATTTTAAATAGATTATAAACCATACTCAAGTCTTCTAAAACCTAACCTAGTCTAGTCTATTTTCACCCCTACCTATCGAAACTTCATCTCATTATCCCACGGCGTGCAGTTTGAATTGATGCAGCAGGTTTGGATTTTCTGAGTTGCCTCCATCCTTCGTCTTCACTGGTACTTCCATGATGAGTAGAAGCGGTTCGTTGAAACAAAATCTCTGTATAGGTGGAAAGTTAAAATTATTGCTTGAGGTTATGGTTGATTTGTTAGAAAGAGGTTAATGCTTCTCTCTAACATACAAGAGCCTTGTAATTGATTGGACTACATATACTTAACAAGGATCAGAACCAAAGTGATCTAACCGTGACCGTCTATTTTGACCAGTCAGGTATTTCTTTTAAGTATTTTAGGTATTTTGCAACACATATCCTGTTTGGACAGGAACAAAGTTGGACATCCCACGAGTATGCCCTGTATCCATGCCTGCCTACCGGGTACGCTGTGCTTTCATGAGTATAATCTATCTTGATCTCATCCCAACAAAAATGTTGGGATCCTTTAACCTCTCTTCTTATTATGCCGTACTCTTCACACCACACTTCTAAACCTAATACGTCTTTAGATGTATACTTTTAAAGCTTCCCCTAACCCTCATTTGCGGGGCACATTATTTCAGTCACTCTCCTATTAGGCGGCCAATCAAGAGAAATGTTGCGTACTCCATCCATCATAAATATTTCGCTGCTATTTCCTTTAACCAATTACACTACAAAGTCGTGCACATCCAAATAGAAAATAATCATGTCTCCTTGCATAAGTGAGGCACATAAAATTATGGCTCTACATTTTATTGGATAACATGGACTGGGGGAGGATACATTAAAATGATTAACACAGATTAAGGAATACATGAACCAGGGGATATCTTAAGTAGAAAATTATAACATGATACACATTCATACAAAGGCAACTAAAATGAGCCAGAGAGAGCTTGTTTATCATTTACAATTTAGGCTCAACCTGCTGAGGCTTTAGAAACTTGTCAAACCAATCAGACAACTCTTTCACCTGAAATTTTGTTATTTGATGCCCAATTTCAGGTTCTGCAATAAACTGCACATCGAAGCAATCAATTGCAAAACTTTAGTTCAAAAGACTTAATTATTATATTTCTATTATATTAGAAGTGGCTTAAAATTAAATGATACACAATTGATATTGGACACTACAACATTGAAAATGGAAATGACAGATTCCATGTAACGGTTAAATAGTGACAAGACAATGTGATTTCATACCTTAAAATTTTCCGAGCATTGAAATTCTGCATATATCTGACTTACTTTTAACCTTAGATTTTCCAAACCGACAAGGGGACACCTAGGATCTTCCGCACCTAGAGTTACAAACACCCAAACTAATATTTCAATTTCAAGTTAAATTCAAAAGCGCCATAAATATCTAAATCGATTAATAGAGATACATAGGTCTAATAAGTAATTGAAGAAGTGCAAAACTTGTATTACAGTATGCTCAAGACATGAATTTGCATATGAATATTGTTGCAACTACAACTTGAATGTGTTAATAAATAATAATACAAATTTTTTACCATTGAGAATAAGCAGAGGACGGGGTGCAATTGATGGAATTGAGTAGGGGGAATCAAATTGGGAAGCTAAACCAGGAGCTATCCTATCCCACACCTGATTCAAAAATATAAACTCTTGAGGTTAGTATATTTATGTGAAGATTCTGCTAAATGGACAAATAAGTAGCAATTACACTATATGTATCATAGTACCAACTATTGTCATGCAAGCTTTGTTAGAGTAGCAAACATATCACAGCAATATATCAATTCAGTTGGAGTCTTGAAACAATTATTGTTGAAATTATAAATATATAAAACTTAGCTGACCTTCTCCACTACGTCTTTGTCAATAGCACTTTTACCCAAATCATCACGAGCCACTGTATACATGAGCACAAGAGAATTATGATGTAATTAATTACCAAGGCACGTTCAAAATACAGTCGTTCATTGCTGGTATGCTTATCCATAAGACTCATATTTGTATCATATTTTAGATCTTACTCGAACATCATTACAACTTTACCATGTAAATATGTAAACGAGAACATTGATCTTTTATGAGATTGTTCGACGATATATATATGAAATCCTAACTACAATATTTGAAACTGATACATATATGATTACTAGAATTATATAAATTAGTAACTTTCATTACAAATATATAATACTTAATGAAATAACAAGAGCAATAATTAAAGTAAAGCAAAAACTTAAAAAGAAATTTCAGAAATAATCCATCATCATACCTTCAAAAACAGGCTTTATACTATCAACTCGCTCATGCCACCTATCGTTGTCTATGGCCCATCGAAATCCCTGCTTGTAAATGATTCATAGTATTTAAGTTGTTGTTTTAAAAGAAATCTTGTTAAAGATAAGCTTCAATTAATAATACAATGTCACCTGAACGCCAATTAGAGGAGCAACTACTGCGTAGCGAGTATCAGCAGCTCCAGCAAACCAGGCATGCATTCCTGAAGTAAGAAATTGTGTAAGTGATGAGTCACAACAAACCTGGTATCTAACATATTCCTCTCAACTTTCTCTCAACCAACCTCCAAGTGATATTCCAGTGATTCCTATCCTAGAGGGGTCTATATCTTCTCTCTGTGTTAGATAATCTGCCAATTTAATCAAGTCCCATACCTGTCAGATCAAGGAATGGTACACCATTTCAAAATCGAAGTCACATACAGGTCAGCCAAATCATTTTTTTGGGGGGCATAAAATGGTTCAGTTAAATAAACAAGCACCATGATACACATGTAAGAAATTTACCGTGTCATATATGAATGGCATTGTGTCTCCGGTTTTCCATGCAGAAATAAGAGCCTGTTTTTTTAACCAACACAAAAGCAAGAAACAAATGATCAATTTTGACTTTTTATACAGTTGACTTATGTTTTTGTTTTTGAAGGATCTTGAGTAGTAGTAAAAAGGATTGGATGCGGGGTATGGCAGGTAGAGGGGAGCTCAGGAGGATTGGATGCGGGGGCTGAAGTAGAAAGGCGTGAACTGATGGATATTCTGGCAGAAATTGTACCGAAGCCTGCTGTCCCTGATGCCTCTGTGTGGTCGATTGGATTGGAGAAAAAATTCTCGGTCTCTTCGAGCTACGAATCAATGTTACAGGTATCGAATGATGGTGAGGTTGATGGAAGATCCAAGCAAGCTTTTGGGGTTATATGGAAGGCGCTCATCTCGTCAAAAGTAAAGATTTTTGCATGGAGGGTGATTCATGATAGGATTCCGTCTCGTTTTCAGCTGGTAAGTAGGGGAATCATATCGAACACTAATGACAGTCTGTGAGTCTTTGGTTGTAATCTGGTGGAAACTATTCATCATTTATTCTCATCTTGCAACTTTCTATTGAGTTTGGGAGCAGATCATGTGTTAGTTAGGTATTGAGTATGATGTTATGCCCAATTGCTGTGATCACTTCCTTCAAATGGTGGAGTCTCTTTATGGGAAGTGTTCAAAGAAGAGAGAATGGGTTATCTGGATGTCGGCTTGCTGGTGTATATGGCGGCAACGTAATGACATTATCTTCAATAATGCTGTTGGTGATGTTGAGGAAATTGTGTATAATGTTAAAATGTATTCTTGGTGGTGGTTGGCCATAGGATTTAAAGTTAAGCTAATTTACTTTTTTTTTTTGGGCATAATTTACATATTTTGATGAAAAACTATAGTTTATGTGATCTTCTAGAAGGCTTGTAGGGCATCTGAATTGACTTTTTGAAAAAACCTCACTTATTTTTTATACTTCTATATATTATATTGACTTATATAATATGTAGTTAAACAAAATATGTAAACTAACACATAGATTTGGTTAATTAATCAGTTAGATACGTTTCTTATTTGATCACAATCACCATTGTAGATAAGAGTTATACGTATTCCGTCACAATCTCAAATGAAAATAAACCTGAGTGAAAAAAAAAACCGATTTAAAAAAAATAAATAATATCAATACAGTAATCAATTTTTTTGGGTCCAAAGATCAGAAAATAATTTTTTTAAATAATAATTATAAATGATTCTAATAATTATAGAAATTTTTAGTTCATTTCGGGCAAGCATATTACATGCCGCAATATGCGTCACAGATAATTTCAACCGTAATTTAAAAACCAATTATCTATATATAATTCGTCAACCGTAATTTAAAAACCAATTATCTATATATAATTCGTGTCGTGTGTCCGTCTCAACTAGAGCAAAATGAGAGAATAAAGTAAAGAAAACACATACATCCCGATAGGTGGTGGCGCTCTTTGCTCGTTCACCATGGTAACGAGAATCAACCGAAATTGCTATATATCCCCGCGAAGCATATGCCTGAAACACCGTGAACACAAATAAACTCCAAGATTATAATCAACCAGAAATTCTATTTCATAAGAGAAAATAGAAACAGATAAAAAGTGAAACAGAGGAAATGCATTAGCAACCTCTAGCAATGGACGCAAAAATTCTTTATACTTGTTTGTACTGTGAAGAAAAACAACTGTAGGTCTTTTTATCTCTTTATCATTTTCCTTCAAACTCAAAATCAACACAGGCAACTTTCCTTGATCTCCTTCCTACAAAATCAACGATTATTTTAACAAATTATTCTCTAGACCTAAATATCAAACGGAATAACAATAATATCGATTCAAAAATCAAATCCAAATAACACTAATATCAATTCAAAATTCAAATCCAGAGAAATCCAACACTTACTTCTATATTCAAATACAGATTCTCCTCCTGGAGCAAATCTTTGAAGTTCTCAATGTCTTTCTTTGGACAAGATTTCATAATCTCCTGTTATAAAATTGTTATTCAATTGAACATGCAGATGAAGATGAAGAAGATAATCGAATGAGTGTTGAAACATGAATTGAACCTCATCGATTGATGGCGGAGAAATCTGATACCAAGAATCCGCAGCTGGTTTTGCGATTTCGACCGTTAACGGAACTGAAAATAAGTAACGAAACGAACGAATTTAGTTTCTAAAAGAGAAAAAAAAAACAGAGAAACAATGCACAAATTGAATACGTAACGATCGAATTTGATTGTTGTACCTTGAGTAGTTCGTCTCTTACGGAGCATTTCCAGAAACTCTGATCGGAACTCGTTCGTTATTTTAATGGCTTCTTTTTCTTCCATTTTTGTTTCGGTTTCTTGATTTGGAGATTCCATGTGAGCGAGAGTTTGAGCGGTTATGGTTCTATTTCCTTGTGTGGCACGCGTTTCGTATTTATAAACAAGCGTTTTGAGTGTAGTATTGTGAGGGGGTGAGAGTACGGTTGCAGTTAGAGGCTCAAGGTGGAACGTGTGGTCGAAGAGAGTTGGCACGTGTAGTGATCGGAGGAATCTCGCGGGAATGAGTTTCATTTCATCGTTTAGCTGAACTTTTGCAATCCAGATACGGTGGTACTGATAAGGGGTAGCTTCTTCATTGTAATAATTATGGTCGTTATATATTGAGTAAGGATGGTCGTTATATATTTTAAAATTTTATTTTATTTATAATTTTAAAATATAAAAAATATATATTAAAATAATATAAAAATAAGTAGTTATAAATAATTATTTTTTATTTTCATGAGAATATAAGATTCTCATCTTTAGTCATGGGAATAAATGATATTCTTTAGAAAGTGAAATGATGATGAGTAGAGAAAGTGAAACATGGGCCATTTATGATATCAATAATATTAGGTGGATTTCCATATTTGCTTAAAGTATTTCTGACAATTTTTCTGAATAAAAAAAAGTAGGACTCCTATTGTTTAATTTTTGAAATTAAGAAATCAGTTGGTTTGTGTTGATTTCAGACTGAAAATTAAAATTTAACGTAAATCGTAATTTTATTTTGAAATCTAATTTCAATTTAATAAAATTTTTAATTTTCAATCAATTGAGTTAAATCGCTTTGACAAATAAATCAAATGGTTTTAATCGTTTTAATATTTATTAAATTAATTCATAAAAGGATTAATTTTTTATAAAATTCACATATTTATTTTTTAGATTTTTTAGAAAAATTATTGAAATTTTAGAATAGCTCAAAATGAATTATTTTCTTTTATTATTGATGAAAATATTATTATTACGATAATATTTTAATATTATTTAATATTAATTTATACATTATAATACTTTAAATTATAAATTATATAACACTCAATTTTATATTACATATTTTATATTTTTATGAATACATATATTATCATTAAATTATAAAAAATGATAATAAGAAAATATTATGAATATTATTTTTATAAAAGTTTATTATTATAATAATAAAAATAAATAAAATAAATATTAATTGAGTTTGATTGAATTTAATTTTTCACAGACTCAAAATAATCATTCAAGTCCGATCGAAACAATTATATATTATTTAAATTAAATAATTTAATCAATTCAACATCTAATCCAACCTAATCCATTTACAAAAAGGAAATAGATCAATAGGTTTGAGTGGGAGGCGTTTCAATTATGTCTACCCTATTTGAAATGTAATAAATATCATCATGTGATTCTTAATCAATAGAGTTAGTAACTAAATGATTTAAAACGCTAACGTCAAAGAGTGGGTGGGTGTTCTAAAAAAAATGTGGGTGGGTAAATAATTGGTTGAACCGCATTATAATTTAAAAATAAAATTAAATGATTCAATCATATAATAAAATATCGATGACAAATAATTAGTATAATCACTATATATAGAATAATTGGTTGAACCACTATATTTACTAAAATGACAAATAATTTTGAAAATTTTATGTATTAATAATAAAAGTAACATAATTCAAACCAATAATTCTGTCTAGTCTTTTATCATAAATAAAATTCATTCTAATAAAGAAAGATAGACAATTCATTAAATATCCTTTTTAGATTTATTTATGTTTACCACACAAAATGAACATGTCTTCTATTGAATACATGACAATGAAGCTTCAACTCATGGCTTTATTATCAAATAAAATTTGTATGTTCTACCGAAAACAAAACAAAACAAGCCTATCAAAAAGAAAAAAACAAACAAAACAAAACAATGTTAATAAGAAGACAACACAAAATTGGGACTGCAAATTCTAAAGGAAGGTGCCTCGAAAAACACTGGCAAGAGGATAAATAGTTAAAATCTGTTTGAGGGAGTAATTAAAAATTGGGTTATAAATATGTTTGTATTTTATCTTAATTATTTCTATTTTTTTATTTTTTTTCAAAAAATATACCCATAATATTATCATCTACATTTTTTTAGTTTCTCATGTTGATGTAACATACCATCTCGTTTTATTAAGTGTACACAAATGTGGCAAAAGTGTTGATATAGATGTCAGATGGTAAGTTGTCACATTTATATATATATATATATATACCGATCTGTACATTAAATATCGAAATCCGTTACAGAAAAGAATGAACATAACGAGGCTTGGAGTATCTAAAACTAAGTCCAACGAACTGGAAGTATCTTCAGACTCTCTCATTGCTTGGCTATCGAAGTGGACTTGTACATTGATAGCCTTTCGCGTGCGTCGACACGACATGCTTACCTTTCATTCTTTTACCCTTCTTATCCCTCGGCTGGAAGGAATAGAAAGAACACAACTATCATAAATAAAGCCGGGAGAACTCCTATATATTACATTACAGCGGGATAAATTCCTACATGAAAGAAAGCTACACCCATCCTAAAAAAAATCTCAATAAAGGTACAAGGCTCTAAGAGAGAGCCATGCTGAAGGAGAGACCCGAACAGAGACTGGGACGAACAAACAGACGAAGCGCATCGAAGAGCTTCGTTAAGCCCGTTAATTCTGTACGTAAGAGAATATCCCACTGGTCGATCAATCAATGAAATAATTACTACAATTGTGGTGGTACCAACATGGCCAGTTAGCTCAGAAACCCTCTACCCACTATAAGAAAAGTAGAGGCGCTTACCCACTCTAATAGTTCGCCTTACGGCTCACCTTGGAAGTATGGCTTACCTGAAAAACTTCCACTCCCCTCGTTGACAATCACCAATGAACTACGACCACGACCAAGATTCTTTCTACCACGACCTCGCGCGGTAACCTGTGTTGCTTTAAAATAAAAACCGTTATGGTACTGTTGTCACCAGTCCCCTGGCCTTGGGAAGGCCACCTCCTACACTACAATAGGTCATTGAAGGCGAAAATCCGACGGATCAACCGTTACAGGATAGAAGCTTTAGCACTCAATCTGTCTCTGTTGCTGCTTCTCGGTAACATTGATCAATAAATTTACGGGCAGAACCTTCCTTTCAGTCTATCGAGTGCCTGACTTCTCTATTGATCTGACCGACTCGATTGAGACAGAGAGTAAAGGTGCGAATCGGCTAAAAGGCTGAGTCCGAGACTGGGAGAAGAACTAGCAATAAATGCAGACTTCGCTCCGCACCTTTAGGTAAAGATCCCCTCCAATCTTCCTTTAATGGAGATATTCTAAAATGTAACTTCCGGTAAGAAAGGGGATAGATTCTCGAAAAAAAGATGTGCGCTTCTTCTTGATGCGGCAGACTGCCTCTTTCTAGATAGATTCTATGGATGCTGATCTGTCTCTTTATTGGACCAAAGAGTGGCTCTCCGCGGAGTTTGTTCCGATGCCTGTCGTGCCTTGCAAGATTGAGATATCAAGGCTGGTACCAAAGCAAAGAGAAGAATAAGAATCTAATCTCTGCTGCCCACAACATAAAGGGGCTCATTACTCGTTTTCGTATTGGATTGGGATGGGACTATCCAATAGTGAATTCCCTTCTTCTTTCATTTCACTACTCCTTTCTTTCAACTTTCAAGGCTGCTTAGTTCGTAGTTGAAGGAAGGTCTCGTATCCCGAGATCTATGTGAAGAGAATAATCTTCGGTGAGTGAACAATGAGGCTATGCTTTCTACAAGGCACTGTAAGCTCATGGTCAATCCATTCATCCAAACAGAAGGACGGCCAACCCATAAGAGAAGAGGCTTATCCATGTAAAAAACACAATAGATGAGCTCATAAGACCCTGCCTTTGAGGCTAATTCGAAGAAGAAGATTCCGTAATAGTCCAACCGGGTAAACCAATTCTTATCCTTCTTCTCGTCCATCTTAGCAGAGACGAAAGGGAATCGGTCAGGAATAGCCTTTAAGGATTCTAGCTCCTCTAGACCATACCTGTTTAGCCGATGTCTTAAATATAAGACTGGTAGAAATTTTAGGAAAAATTTAATTTAGAAGCCATGACATGACCAGCTGATTTGTGGCACTCCAGTCAGCCATCTTGGTCTCACTCATATTGGGGATCAGAGAAAGAAAGTGGGATAACCTCAAAAAATAGGTTCCTGCTCCATAAACGCTTTCCTACAATGAACAAACGAACTGAGCGAGCCCAATGCAAAGAACTCCAGTGAGGAGATCTGGTTATCTTTTTTTCTAATACGTAATACGAGGAGGTAATTTGTTGATACCGAGAATGATAGAAGAAGCTTCAAAACCCCTGCTTGAGAATCCGGTCTTTGAGAAGGAGCTACATGTGTTCTTGTTCGAGAATCCGCATCCCGTCGAATCAGCTGTGAGGGTTAAAAGGGCTTACGATGAATAGACTCTTTGATGTGGCATTACTGGGTCACTATAAATATCATACATAAGAGAAGAAAAAGGGTAAGTAAAAGAAAGGCATTGCGTCCTTCTCTTTTCCAGTACAAGAGTTCCTATTTTGTGCCCGAGACGAAGGATGGATTGATTGCCCGACTATAGGCAAGAGTTGACTGACTTCCAGGAACTCCTGCAATGTTCTGCGCCTTTTTCTTTCTAAGTTTTTAATATATCTTTGGTCACTTTCTTTGTGCAAGTAATCTTATTTTGCTTCGAGCACAGGGCTTCACAAGTCAAGTAACGAATCCCATTACTGTAGGGCTTCCCGCCCAAATGCTCCAATAGAGCTCTTCCCGCCTTCCAGATAAAACCTAGTGAAAACTTGTTTTAGAGGTTGGTTTGAATGGGGGGTTGCTCCTATCTTGACTCGATGCTTGGTCACTAGCAGACTTGTCCCTCCGTGGATTCGTAGACCCACTAAAGTCAAGGTAGGTCAAAGAAAGGACTATCTCCGGTGGATCTTCTAACTTAAGTCTGTGGTCGTAGAGAAGTAAAAGAGCCTAATTTCGGGGCTGAAGAGGTCGGAGAAGCCTCTGATTGACATAGTTTCCTATGGCAAACACCCTCCTCTTACCCGCACAAGACTCAACTGAATGCGAGAACCCGCCAGGATAGCAAAATAAGTCACCAGTACTGTCAAACTCCATCAGAATACATTTTTGAAATATATATATATATATATATATATATATATATATATATATATATATATATATATA